TGCACTCGCCTTGTGATGAGCTTCTGCTGCTTGCAAGTGATCAACCTAAAAACTAAGCATGTCCACCTGATACTTTGCCAGGTTGGCTAATTGCAGCAGCAGTTGGTTTTCAGCAAATTAGCCCAGAGCCAGTTGAAGCGGTCATTTCGACAAGCAGCATTTTGTGGGGTGCGGTCCCTAGGCACTTCCACTCAGGATCGAGCAGAATTCAGATCAGGCCTGGCAAGAGGCCATTTCATAGTTCGTGTCCCCATTCCAATGACACTAAAACAGCTTCCCTTGTGGTTGCAGACGCGATGGTCGTTGTCCTCATGCGGGGGCAAACGCGTGAGCCTTGATAGGAATGTGGGTACACTACTCGAGCAGATTGTTTATCAAGCCTAGCAAGAGGCCATTCAATGTTCGCATTCCCATTCCAATGACCCTAAAACAGCTTCCCTTGCGGTTGCAGACGCACTGGTTGTTGTCCTCATGCGGGGGCAAACGCGTGGGCCTTGTTAGGAATGTGGTTACGCTTTCCGTTGGAGCATGGCGGCTCTTCATTGGCAAAGTATCAGGTGGACATGCTCAGTTTTCAGGTTGATCACTTGCAAGCAACAAAAGCTCATCACAAGGCGAGTGCATGTTCGGCAACTCATGGGTAAAAGTTGCCACACTCGCACAGATTGCGGTCAGGTCTCCTTGAGGCAGTAGCATTGGGACCCCCTCGGAGCGAACATGTAGCCCGAACCAGCAAGGTGAAGCATAGTTTCGAGGGCTGTGAGAGCATAAGCCATATCTAGGTTTGAGTAACCCGCACAGGGCGAGCCTTGCCTACGCTTGGCAGGCTTACGTTAGGGACATGCCCATCATTTTCGCCTGTAAAATTTTTGGGAGAACTGATGTCATCTTCAGGCAGACCACCAAAAGCTTAACGTACTCTTTGAGGAGGGGTGGTCAACCTCCTTGGGTGCCTAACCTTGGCACTCCTAGACCTTCATCCCCTTGCGGGGCGGCCCTGGTTAACGCCTAGCATGGCTACTAGGGTTCCTCATGGGCGCACACTTGCTCATGGGGATAGTGTTGGACCGGCACTGCGCTACCGATACTCAAGGGAGGCTTGGCATGCGGGCCTAGCTCAAGTATGTCCTTCACCTCGCCAGCCCCTTGCCCAAGCTGATTGAGCTATCCCGTTGTCCCTAGCGCACGGGTGTGTTCCGGCCCAAGCGGTTGCCTATCATCATGGCACACAGGTGCCTGTCATCATCGGCATACAGGAGACCCTTCACATCGGTGCCAAGTCACCTCATCGGTGCATGGTCGCCTTCCATTATGGTTGTCCCCCTTTAGCACGTAAGCGGCGCATCCCATAGACCAGTCTGAGCCAGGAGAGTGCCCCGGCCATTGGACTTGAGGTCATGATCCAGTGCTACTGACGTTGATGGAGCCATCCCATTGGGCAACTCCTAGCCTCTAAGCGCATAAAGGCTTGTCCTGGCCTGCCTTGGCCAGGACGCCGCACGGGTTTCTTCCGCTGTAGAACTATCCCCGTGATAGACATAAAAAGTAATTTATTCAGCCATGATTTTCCTTAATTAATTTGGGTGTAATTATAGCCATTTAAATGGCCCCCAACTAAGCTGATTGAACCTCTTGATTTTAAGGAATCACCGTGATTTAACGTGATTAGAGAGAAAATCTCTCTAATTACATATAGTGGGCCTTACATCAATATTCAATTCTTACATTTAATTTAATGGACCGCACCCCTACACCATCTTGGGCTTGAGCTCAACCATTTCCCTTTGTTTTTTTTCTTCAATTCATATTGGGCTTCAATTTCTTGGGCCAATACGTTAGAGGCCCCTATATTGTATCCCAACTTTCTTCCTTTGCATTTCTTAGAGGCCCCTATGTTGGTATATAAATTTCAAATTCTTAGTGGGCCCAAAACTTTCTTAGTAGGCCCAACAGATCCTTTCCATTCAATTTTATATTTGGCCTTACTGAATGCATTTCTTGGACCAACATCTTCCGTAAGTTGAAATTTATATACCAACAATACTATCGTAACTCTATTGTAGCATAGTTACCAGAAGTTTGTGATTTAAGAAACATGCTGTGATTCGAATTAAGAATTTAAATTTAGATCAACAGAGTAGGATGGAGTGGAGCTAATACCACAGATGCCGATGCGAGTAAATTGGGCTATTCCGGTATTCCCAACCCATAGCAGATGCCCATTACCCCAAAAGCCAAATCGTATTGACCATTCCCAACCCATAGTAAATTAAAGCTATGTTTGATTTGAAGGAAAAAGTAGGGAAATGAAGGGAAATGTAAGGAAACCTATACATTCGGAGCAGTGTTGTAAAGCTCTGACCGGACCGGACAAACCATGAAAAAAGAACCAATGGCCTTCATGGATCCCAGTTAATTGACAATTTTAATAAGGCAACTATCTGGTTAACCGGTAAAACCATTGACCATTGAACATTCCATTTTGAATGAAGTTGTAGCCTTGTAGGGGATGTTTCTAATTGCATATCTAGAGATAATTATGAAATTTTCAGAGTACAGAGGACCCACCTGCATGTTATAAGATTAATATGTATTAAGCTTTTTAAGCCAACATATTGGCCTGGTCTAAGGTTGAAGAGGTAATTATACAGTTTCTTGATAATGAATTGAACCGTCTTATGCCTAAACCACCTAAATCTAGTCTATTCGATTTTTCCAAAGTCTCAGTTTGGAAGGAGTACAAATACAAATATGTAGAGTGCAAAACCTTATATTTTGTATTATTTTGTACTTGTATATATTTGTATTTATCCTCTTTTGAAATTAAGCCTAAATTGTTTTGGTGTTTTCCTCTTAATCTCTAAAGGTTAATATCCCCTGCACCAAAAAACCCACAGCTGAACAAAAACACGAGTTCAATTTACAGCTTCATTGGGCAACTTGAATCCTCAAGCAAAATTCTGCTTGGTTGAGCTTAAGCTTTAATAAGACTGCAAACAGTATCCGTTTGTAATGTCCAAAATCGATTTTGAGCTCCATCACATTAAAGGTGATTTGAATTCAATCCATCTATACTTGATCTAATATATATGAATCCCTATCAGATGCAATTTGAATATATATGATCACATATACTTAAAATTTAGTTCATCTTTCTAATAATATATAATATTTTGATCATTTATACTTAATTTATTAATACCATTCAATATTCAATAAGAGAATCATACATAGATACAATAGATAACATTCGATTTCAATTCCAATATAAACGAAGCAAATTTACTCTAATGGTTGAACCGACAAACCGGCAACCCGGATAGCAGGTGACAGTTTGGATATCAAATGAGTTTTTGCATTACCAATTTTTGGTTTAATATTCTAAAAATGGCCATCATGTCCCGAACTCCCCGCTTAAGCCTGACCCCTTTTTCTTTTAAAATTTTTGTTTCATTTAGGGTTTCAAGTTTTCAAAAGAAAAACCGAACGAGGAACAAGAGTACAATGCTTAATGCGCTTGAGATTTATTTTGACAATGACCATCCAGTGATTAATGCTGACAACTATAATTTTTCACATCCATCAGCAGCTGTGAGCAGTATTGGGTGATTCAAACACTCCGTATTTTTTCATTTTACTTCTTGAGTTTTCTTTTTAATTTATAACTGTATATAAATCAAAATATCAAACGATGCAGACATCTGAAAACTCTAATTATAAAACATCCATTTTTCTTTCGAGTTTTTGGGTAAGTTTTTCTAGAACAATCATTCAGGAATTCATTGTAAATTTCTAATATAATTTCTAATTTTTTAAATGGCTACAAGTTGTCAACCCTTTTGAAGAGGTAATCTTTTATTCTTACTTTAATCTAATTCTCTTATTCCTGCTATGAATATTATGATTATTGATCATTTTTATTTTTATAATGATATTTTTTGTTTTCATTAAACCTGAATCTCTTAAATCGTAACATATGAAATATATTTCTGTTTTGATTAGTTGATGTTATGATTTTTCTTTGCATTTTTATGTATTTTTGGCTACTTATACAGGTGTTTATATATGTCATTTTATTTTTAATTATTTCAATTATGATGTCATGAGTTGCCCATTCGACCAAGATGATTGAACCGATGACCCATGACCCAGGGGCAAAAATGGTTCAACCTTTGGGTTGGTTCTTGAAACATTGGGTGTGCCAATAGGTAGAAGTGTCAATTGAACGAATTTGGTCCAACCCGATCCAGTCCAAATCCAATCCAATCCATTAAAATGTAAATGGATTGGATTGGATCCAATCCAAACCGAATGAAATATCAAAAATTATATAAAATCACTTTTAGCATTGAAAAAGCAATTTTGTGAAAGTACTTTAATAAAAATATTTTCATAAAAGTGCTTTTACAAAAGCACTTTATTGAAAGTACTTCAGAAAAGTACTTTTATAAAAGCACTTTTCAAAAAGTACTTCCATAGACTTTTATAAAAGTACTTTTATAGAAGTGCTTTTACAAAAGTACTTTCATAGAATTTTTATAAAAGTGATTTCATAAAAGTACTTTTGTAAAAGTCCTCTTGTAAAAGTTTTTTCGTAAAAGTGATTTTCTAAGTGTTTCCATAAAAGTGTTTTCATAAAAATACTTTCATAAAAGTGATTTTATGTTGTTTTCAGTTTTGATTGATTTCAAATTGAACAAAGGTTTGGCCTCATGATCAGTTTATTGGAAATTTGGTTTAGGTCTAATTCAAACCAATAAGAATACAGACCAAATTATTTTGGATTGGCCCAATCTAATAACTATAATGGACCGTCCAAATCCAATTTAATAAAGTTTGAATCGGATTGGATCCAAACCAAAACCGGTCAATTGACACCCCTACCATGGCATAGGTTTGACAAAGATTTGCCTCAACCCCAGTCCGAAATTGAACTGGTCATCAGCTAACGCATTCAATCACTTAATCCTGTTTGTTAGACAACATCCTATTCGTAATACTATGCACAAATTGGGATGATTCAATCTTATTCCTACAAAAATATACAACAGGGTAATGCCACCCTGAAACCCAAAGACGGTTTTTTACAGACTGGCTTAGCCGAGGCACAGGGAAAACGAGAAAAAAAAGGAGGGAAAAGGGAAAAAAACAACCAGACATTCATCTCCGACACAGCCACATCAACCTCAGAAAGCAGCCAATGATACCGAATAGCCTCTAATCACTCCCTTTTGAAATGTAGGAGCAACAGCAGGCCAGATAAATATATAAAATTAGAGGGGGAAAAAGGCAAAACATAATAAAACAATACAAACCTATGACCGGAGAACTGAAAATGCAAAAATCATCCCGTCCCAGTCATTGCCTTGCAGCCGAATATGCATTATGAGTGCCGTAAGTTCCTGTAGAACAAAAATAATCTACACTCCATAAGCTTCAGTACTTGAGCTGTATTATAACAAAATACTAAGCAATTAGAGAAACTAATAGGTACCAAGTGCAACACAATACCAAATCAAAAGTACAACAAAATCTTAAGTATGATATTTACAGCCAAACCCACCTAAAGCCAAAATTGTAGTGAGAACTGTAATTGATGGTTTAGTTTCTTGCATTAAATTAAATGGTAATTTGCACCATAATCAAGGTTCAAAGTATCACAACATATCGGTGTGCATCTTATTACACATATTGGTTTTCAGGGTCACCAATACATTCAATACTTTAAATTGGTTCTAATTAATAATGTTAAAATGAATGTCATTATGTTATGAACAAGACTGAATTGTTGGACCCAAAAAACATGCAACTGTCGATACTTTGAACCTTGATCATAATCCAGAAAGCTTTTTGTAATCTGAAATGTTCTCTTGGGAGGGTTAAGAGTTTTTACCCCTCCCTTTGTATTTTTCTATATTAATATCTCTTAATAAAAATATTTGTTACTTACCCAAAAAAAAAAGGAAAATGTAACTTGGAATCATGAACCTATCTCAATCCTCTCATGCTCAAGGGCATTTACACTGCTACCCCTCCTCTTTTGACAATCTTTCATTTAGCTTCCTATATAAATTGTGTGGTCGCATTGGTGCATATACAACCACTCCCTTGGGCTTGTCTTTTCTAGCTAGTAACACCATTTCTTATTTGAGAAGGTAAAATTCTAAATCCACTACGGCTGCCAAGCAGGTCTGGCCAAGATATTTTCAACTTCAAGATTAAGAATATCAGACGGAGAATATTGATATAATTCGGTTGTCTTAAGTTCTGTCTGTCTGAGATCAGTTATGTAGAAGGAGAATGGTGGAAGAAAGAGAGAAAGAGAGGAGAGAAATTCTGGTTCGAACTGGAAAACTCAACTTACCATCTCCCAGTCGGCCAGGCAGTATTTATATTATTAAAAATAACTGAAAATACCTATGTGCCCTTACTTAAGTTAGGAGCACTGGTTCCAACACAACATTACAGATCAGCAACATTAATTTAGGTATAAAGACAGAAATACCCCTACGCTAACACTCCCCCTCAAGCTGGTGAATATATATCATTTACTCCTAGCTTGTTACATATGTAGTCCACTCTTCCCCGACTCAAGCCTTTTGTAAATAAGTCTGCCCACCGATTTCCTGTATTAACATGTATAGTGCCTACCTCTCCACATTCAGCACCTTCTCCCTCACAAAGTGACAGTCAACCTCAATGTACTTGGTTCTTTCATGAAACACTGGATTAGAGGAGATATGAACTGCAACCTAATTATCACAATAGAGCTTCATTAGAGTGTTAATGCTGTACCCTACTTCCTGTAGAAGGTTCCTTAGCTACACTAATTCACAAGCGGTGTGTGCCATAGCCCTATATCCTGCTTCTGCACTGCTTCTTGCCACAACCGTCTGCTTCTTACTTTTCCATGTCACCAGGTTACCTCCCAGAAACGTGCAATAGCYTGTAGTAGACCGCCTATCAGACATAGAACTGGCCCAGTCAGCATCAGAATA